AAAATTATACTACATACTAAATATATCTTCACAATTTTGAGCACATTAACAGAAAACTTTAATTGCCACTGTATCCCTGCCTACCTTGACTTTTATCAATATATGCTCTAAAGAGCAAATTCAAGTTTTATACAATTTTGATGACTGTTACTTAATGACAGACAGGAAGAAAATGCAAGATAGTATTTTCAACCCCAGTACCTGCCAAGGTAACTGGTTATGCCATAGTAAACTTGGTTAGCTTTCTCCCAGGTCTGTGTATAACACAGAATGACTGATGAGGCCATTCCAGTGTCTTTTACACAATTCTGTCAACGTTGATCTTTTTCCTTCAGCTGGGCCAAACTCTCTAACTTAAATCTCTTATAATTTTAGCATATGAATACAAATACCTTTTCCTTTCAGGTGGATTTAGTCTGAAAACTCCTTTACTTTCATTATGCCGCTCCAGTAGTAGTAATGACATCTAAAATGGAGTTAATTCCTCACGTTACGACTGCAGCTAATGGCATGTTAAACAGTCAGTGTTTATCTCTGCACTAGACAATGTTCAAAATCCTACAAAACAAGGAGACCACACAAACCTTCCCTTTACTAATAGGGTTTGCTAGTGAATGCAAGTTTTGTAAAACCTACAGAGAATTGGCATATTCAGCCCTCTTGGTTATTGTCTAAGTGCAAATGAACCTCTCCTCCCTTCCAGGGTATTTCTAAAAATTCAGATTTTTTGACAGAAATTCTACAAGCAAGACTGCATTGCGCTGAGCTCCCCTCTGCCTGGTTGGAGGTGAAAAAATCCCATGTTTCCTCATGGGAAACAGAGGGGATGGCCCAGATGCAAGCTCCTCACCAGCCACCCGTGAGGGCAGGACTAGCACTGCCTCCTAGAGCGCCTGAAGGTTTATGTAATTTGTTTCCATAAATCTCTGACAGTGTTTGGTATGGAATTAAGGGCAATATCTTTCAAACTTGTGCTATGTATACATACTGCCATACTCGACATATGCCTAGCATGTGCTATTCAAATAAAACCTACAAATGCCGTACAAGCTCATTCAGTCTGAAGTTCAAAACAAGGAAAAAAAAAAAAGGTAACATTATTTGTAAGATGAAGAGAGTATTATAGTGGGAGTTCACTTTTAAAGCCAAATACAAAAAAAATTATTTCATGCAATGTGCATCAGTCTAAAATTAGAATGGGTGTCTAGATGACTTTTTAATCACAGTGATACTGTACAAAAATCAACTCATATTCAAATTGTATCTCCCAGTGAGATAACAATTTCTAATATGCTGAAAAATCTACCATCTCGTTAATACAGATCTAAAATAGGAACGAAGCTTTTTAAGTCTTTGTAAGACATTACATTTGATGAAAATAGCTATTATTATCCTATCATATCCGCAGTACCAGAACAGGGAACAAACTAAGGTACACTTTTAAAATATTAATTGATAGTACAGTTCACTATTGTGAAACTAAAGCATAAGGGTTGTGTATTTTATACAGAAATAAGTGTTTTGAGAAGACACAGGAAAAAGCAATGGATATGCCTTTGTAGTGAAAGATAGAAATTCTTAAATTGTTGAAAAGGTTTTAAATGTCACATGATTTGCACTAATTTTCATCACATATCAAACCTATAGCAATTAAATCTACTGAGTTGCTAAGTACTTTTCCTGCCTTTCAAAAGGAAATACTGCCTGGATGAATGGAGTGAGGTGGCCTGAAAACTGTCCGAATCCCCAGGCTTGAAGGGTATTGATCAATGGCTTATGCCCCGCTGGCGCACACCAACAAGGACAGCCCTGCAGGAGTCAATTTTGTAGCCCATGTCAATCAGCATCTCTGACCTGGGCGAGGACATAGACTACATGCTAACAAGTTTGCAGATGACGTTAAATTAGGAGATTGAGACAGCACGCTAAATGGCAGAGCTTCACTCAGAAGGACCTTGCTCGGCTTGAGGACTGGGCCAGAAGACACTTCATGAAGTTCAGTAGAAGTGCAAAGGTCTGCACCCATGTGCTGGGCAGGGACAGCCAAGCAGCAGCCCCGCTGAAAAGCAGCAGGCACTTACAATGGGTGCCAGGCTGCAAAGGAGTCAACAGTGCGTTCTCATTGCAACACAGGAAACCTCATTCCGTGCTACACTGGTGGGGGAGTGGAAAGCCCACTATCCCCCACAACTCAGTGCTGGTGAAATTTCACTGGTTGTCTAAAAATAGTAATTTGGATAAAAGCCCCCAGACTGATCCTCTGTTAACTAATTCTCTTTAGAAACAGCACAAAATATCTCACGATGTCTCCCAAGGTTACAGGAAAATTTAATAAAAGATTTTGCACAGAATCCAGAGAATTCTGCACTATAAGGAATTGCTTTATGGTACATCTGCTAGCACTTTTCAATTTCTGATAAAGACTGCAAATATTTTGTGATGCATTGTTTTATGTTTCCTCTACTTACTAATTAACTAATTTAACATTCAGTAGGCTTAAAAAGTGCCTTCAATAGAAAGGTTTAACATATCACTTTTTTTAATTCTAAAAATGTTAATGATATTTTTCTTTCAATGAGTATCAAATAAACAACTGTAAAAAAGAATTAAATCAGTGATATCATCTTTAGTGTTCACCAAGTTTCAGTTAGCATTGCAAATAATGGCATTCACTAAGCACTAGCAGAACACTCTAAAACTAAAGACCTTATTTCTGTATTTAAATTAAAATCCAACTTTCAAAAAAATTTCAGGACACACAGTTTCTGTCCCTCAAATGTATTTGGTGTCATACACACATAATGCTTTCTAATATCATGGTAAACTGCTCATAGACTGGAGCATGGGGTGGGCAAATGTTTAATAATGTCGTTTTTAAGGAAAGTGACACAGAATAATTAATTGCTGTTTTGCACACAGCATGCCAATTTGATTCATAATATAACGTCATTAAAGCAAGTATGATGAAGTTAACCAAATATGATTAAAAAAAACCACCTTTGATATATTCTCATTTTCTTATAATAATAAATATCAGACTAGGTTCAACTAGGAAATAAAAAGAAATAGTTCTTGAATAATTCAAAATTTTCTTTGGAAGAAACTCTGCTAATCCGCACACTTCTTTTATACCAAATATTCATGAGCAATTCATGAGCATTCACAATTCTTTAAAAGTATACTTAATATTTTCTTTAGGTTTTCATCATTTTTTCCTGATAACAGAACTGTGTGAAAAAATTGGAATTCATTAGTATTTAGTTGCTCTGCCAGTTGCTTTGCCATATAAACAATGAGGAGTACTAGACACATATTAAATAATCAAAGTAATCTCAGTTCTGTAGGGACCTGACTCTGGAAAAGGAAGAGGCAGTCAGAGAGCTGGATATGTGTGGTTGTCTCCTGAGAACTGTTCAAGCAGCTCTGCTGCCAGGATCACATACCTATCTAATAATTTTTTTAGGTTTCAGTACTGGAATCAATCTTAAATAGAAAAATTCAAGTGCACTATGTACGCTGTGTATGTGTAGAAAGAAATACAGTGTATATGCATGAAATCTAACCTATCATCAGTGCCTGGATGTACAACACATGCATAAATGGAAGACTAGATCACACCATATGGAATGCAGGTTTTGCCTAATAAAATTACTTTTTTTTTTCCTTTTATTAAAATCTGCCCTCCTACTGTTTAATGTTTCAGAGATTTTCAAATAGAAAGTGCCAAGCCTTCTCCCACATATATTAACTGAGGCTTAGCAACACTTAAGAGACTTGGTTCTTAATCAAAAAATATAGAATCACTTTATGAAAAACTGTAAAATATAACTTTGCACAAAGCTATTTTGGCAACACAAGTAGTAGTTGTTAGCTACAATGTATGGAAGCCTCTGCCATAGTCTCCAATACAAATTTAGATAGGAGAAGTGGATGGGGAAAAAACAGAGCCAGTCAGCAGTGTGTGTGGCAGAAAACAATTGCATTTACAGTACTATCCAGCTTCTGGAGAGAAGCCAGAGACCTTCCCATGAAATCTTTCTGTGCTTTTAACACTGTTGCAAAGCTTCAGGGAATTCTAATTGTATAAACAGTTATAGGGAAATGAGATTCACTGTGAGACTACATCCAGTCAGTGGTAAAAGTGATGATTGCAACTCAGCATCAGTCATTTAGAATATGAACTTTCTGACTAGCAATTCATACGCATGTACCAAAACTGTCTCAAATTCAACCAGTTAGCAGTTTCTTTTCAGTCTGATTATACAGTCAGCTTCCCAAAACTAAAGCATGTACAGAAGATCTCATATACAGTTAGATGTTTGGTTGTCTTTTGATTTTAAATAATGCAGGTTCTCCAATATTTATATCATGATAAAATTCTAGTGCTTTAAAAATCTGCCCTTCACACAAGCCTAAGCATATTTATTTTAAAATTACTTACTGTACATCTTCATACTTTAAGGCATGAACAATGGCATATGAATGGGAACAGCTTCCAGAAAAGCATATCTCTTTGACAAAGGCCAGTCCAAGCACATCACACCAAAGGACTAACCTGAAGCCAGCAATGATAGTATTGTGACCCAAGAGCTTTTAACAAAAATAGTTGAAACAAAATGGATTTTTTTTCCTCTTTTTCTTCCTTTTTTTAAATTTTTTTTTAATTTAAATTACATTACTCTTAATGTCTGTTTAAAGCACCGGTTGCAGTTTTGTGTTTACCACCTCTTCCAAGTGACTTTGGATAACTCATCTGCTTCTTTTGTTCTGAATTTTCCGTGTATGAAACTTTAAAAGGTTTTTGTTTCTTTTTTGTTTCTTTTTTTTTTTTTAATGGCTGCTGCAAAATTAAAAAGATCCAGAAGTGGTCAGGGGCCTGGTCTAATGCATTTTCAAAAGTCCGTTATAAAGATGAATATAAATGCAAATGATAGGTTTTTCTGTAGACCCACAAACCACGCTTAGCTATAAGAAACATATTGTGCATAGTTATTTTTTCCTTCAGAGTGATATGTTTACTAGATCTACATTCTCAGTTTACCAGAGTACAGGAATTTCTACTTTACTAAAGCCAGGATCCTTTCGCAGTTCCCAGTAGGTGTCATTGGTAACCCAGGCTTCTCTTTGATTAGCGTCGATAACTTTTCTGTAGAAAGGAAAAAAACCACAAAAGAGAGAGAGAAGAAAAAAAAAGTTCTGACCATAGATCTCTGCTCTTATGCACTATGAAATCAAATTCCATACCCTTCTGATCTAACCCCACATTAAATCTGATTTCATATTTCTAAAGGACACAATAACAATCAGGATTCAAAAATAAAAACCAACCTCTACCTGTGTCAAAAGTGGAAGGTTTAGAAAAGAGCAAAGACTGCAAATCCATTCTCTGATCTGTGTGAGCATGTCTTAGAGCCACATAAAGCCTCTTTGGCCATTACAGATTCTGGTTATGTGCAGGGGATCAACCAAGAGATCTAGTTTGCAGAATGCAAGCCTTTTATCATTTAGCTTGTTTGTCTCCTCTGTGTTTTGCTCAACTTCCACTACAAAACTGCATCAAGCATGTTCAATCTTTTCAGTTTTGATTCCCCATGCTAAACATCAGGCTATTTGGTATGACTACCCCTTGTTTCAGAAGAATGCTTAATTAAAAATAAAAAGAAAACAAAAAACCCAACCCTCCACTCAAAAATAAATAAATTGTAATTTAAGTGTGTATATATACATGTGATGTTGTTCAGGTCACTATTTATTACTTTGTTTATGTAATGACTTAAAACAATAACATTGTTAAATCTTAGATCCTAATATTACACTTCTATTCCACTTCAAAGTTCAAATACATTGGCCAAGGGCTACAACAGGCTTGTATAGCTGTTACCCATTGTGAGAAAATGGTCTTTCAATTATGAAGCTTTAAACTATGTAAAAATTGCTTCAGGCAGAAGGTATCTGATTATTTTTCTTAAAATTGCCATTTTCCGGGATTTCACAATTAACAGACTATGTTGGTGGCAATTCTTGTAGTACTTTGCCCAGTCACGCTGTAGAAAACAGAGGGTTACTACTGAAACAAAGAGACTCACTTAAAAAATTTGGGTACGTATTCAATGCTGTTTTCTTCCATGTACCGCCTTCGACCTCTCTGGAGTTCCTCTATTCTTTGTTTCTCAGATGCTGCTGCTTCTACATTTCCTTCCTCCAGAAGCCTGTATGAATAACAACAGGTCCTATAGCAATCACACAGTGTGTAGAACAAGGTATTTTCTAACACCAATCATCACAAAAGACAAGTAGAAGTCAAGCCTGTTGTCTGTGTTGTACCCACTTTCAGATCTAGTCATAACCTCATAAAATAACAATAACCGAGATGGAACTCCCCAGTTACATGTACCTGACCGATAGCCTAAGGCATACACTTTCTTCAGTAACTTCAGCATATGACAAACATTGAAGTACTATGAACTGAGAATTAGGAGGGAATTAATGTTGCTTCCATTCATAGGAGGAGGGCATGACATTTCAGAGCCTGTCTTTCCAGTTTGTTATGAGGAATCCTACCTCTGCACTATAGCTCTACTATACCAACAAGATGCTTTCTACTTTCCCTCAACTGGGTAAAGCAGAAATTTGATTGCAATACCGAATACCTTCTCTGCTAGCAGAATACTCCAAAGTTTAGTTCAGACCGTAGTGAAGACATAGACAAAATTCAATACTCAGCCAACCCAGCCTTAAAACCTCCAAATATTAAGTGTATAAATAAGCACTCTTGCCTTTGATCCGGCCTGAATCGCGCGTCTGTTGTAGGAAGAAGATCTTTCAATAAAGGGTCTAATTCATTGAGCTCAATAGCAAACCTCGTGAAGCCGTAATAACGTTCATAATTGGTTGGCATGGAGCCTGTATGAATATGTATGAGAAAGAAAAAAGCTTTTTTAAACTATTCCTCTAAATATGCAAGAGATTAATTTATTTATTAAACTATAACAGCAAAAATATTAATACATTTCACTCTTACATACAATTAGAAAGCATCAAAAGCTATTCTCTAGGTGGAACAACATTCACTAAATATTAATTTCAACTCCTTATCCCACAGAGGTTGTAATTACATGCTAATAGATTCAAAACTTTTATGATCTTCCTTCCTTTTTACATAAAAATTACTGTTTTCAAGATTTTCAAGTTCCCTGGAAAGTGGGCTTATCAAGTGTCTGTATAAAAGCTAACCTTAACTGATCTTCAGAGTTCATTTTGAAACATAACGCTCAGTCGCAGACTGGTTTGGCGCTGTCCAACACCTTCAGCACTAACAGCAGGCCGAGTAGGCATTGCAAAGTAGGGTTCAAAATACCAACAATGACAACTCCTGGATAATCGCTCTGCGTGTATGAAAGACACTATAGGTGCAAAGAATGACTAATTCAACCTCTGTGCCTCTAAGCAAGCAGTAAGGAAGTTGAAATCAGCTCCTGAAATCACAAGAGCTCACCATCTCTGAAGACCAATCCTTTAGGTTGATAAAGCATTAAGAAAACAAACTCAACAAACTGGCACCTCCTATTTGTTGAATCTAAATAAGCTACTCTGCTTTCTGTGAGAAGGCAGGCAGGCTCAGACATCCAATTTTTTTCTTAATTTTATTCTTATGTTGACCCCAAAACCCCAGAATATTTGACCAGGAGTCAGACTGAGATGTAGAAGACTATGCCCTGTAAGAACATTTCCAATTACCATTATTATAAACTCATGTAAATTCTTGCTTATTTATCTAACCAGAAGTTTAATTTCTCCACTAGTATTTTGTGTATTTAAAAAAATGGCTAGAACAGCGTTACACAGTTAAGGGTCACACTACCGTGCCTGACAGAGTTTATTACAAGCGTCTTACCTGGCCTCCATATACATTTGGCGGAAGGTGCAACCCCACAATAAAGGCCTTCATGCCACTTTCCAAAAAGGCGATGAACCACCTTCCCTTCTTGATCTATCACAACACCCTGGACCTCATTTACATTTGAATTCCAGTAGTTTACCTGCAAGTTTAATAAAGAATTGCTAGTTCACACTGTTTGTCGCATTACCCATTGTACCAATACAGATACTGCATGAATCTTAATATGTGGCACCAACTGACCAAATTTTGTATCAGAACAGCTCACCTGGAACCAAGAATATAAGAATTCAAAATTCAGATGACCTGAATACTAATTGATTTAGTATATCAGAAACCCTGAATATTTGATAATGGTTTTGGTATAAAGGTATTTAAGCACAATTAATTATCTGGGAACTATATTGTTGTCCATTAACCCAAATCCCACACAATTCAGTAAAAATCACACTCTGAAAGTTGGAAGATCAGAGCCAGCTAACTCTCTTCTTTCTATATGGAGAAATACTGAATATACCCGGGTATGTAGGGGAATCTTTTGATGGGTGCTGTACACTACTGTTTGCAGCAGGGATTACATTCACTCGGTATTACTTGTTAATTGTGCTTTCTGTTTCTTTTCTCTGTTTTGCTTTTCTTAGACACATTTATTTCTTACACCTTCACCTACTGAGCTAGTTGCCCATTCTCAGAACATCCATCAAAACATGAATTTCAGAGTTATGGCAACATGCTATTGCTAATACTGCATTATTTAATCTAAAGACATAAAATATTGACCGCCAAATTCTAGAAAAGGCAGAAGTAAAATGCCACAGAAGTCTACAATGACTTTGCATTTTCATTGTGGTAATAGAAATTTTGACAATTTGTTTTTAACCTAAAACCAACAACAGTATAGCGCACAGCTGTACAGCAATGCAACACACTGATATCAAATGTTCAGTGGAATAGTCATACCACTTGACATAGCACTCTCATTTGACAATTTACATTTTTACAAATGTTGATAAGACAAGATGTGGAATGTCGATTTCAGGAATACTGAAGAAACAGCTTGATGTATGCTTAAACTATGCAGCTTTATGAGTATATTATATGTACTAGAATACGTATGTTACCTTGACAAATGTGAGTTTACAAATACAAATACTGCTTTTCGTGTTTCTGATAGTTATCTCTCCATAGTGTTCTATCCACCTCCTTCCACTAAGAATATTATGTATGCAAGTAGTGACTTTGTTCCAGACGTAGTAATCTCCATACCTAAAAATAGATTAACAAGTAGTTGGTAACATATATTAATCATGATCATTATGGACAAAAAAAGTAAAACATAGCCCCATTATCATAAATACAAGACCATATTCCTCAAAAATTTTTGAAACAATAGCTTACTTTTATTAAAGCATTGGTTCCGGGTACATTACTAATCCTCTGTAGAGGAGCTCACCTACGCTCTAGTGCAGAGAACTGAAGAATGGTGCTATGAACCACAAATCAAGACATTATGAACCACTGAAGCCCTGCACAGCATATTCACAGTCCTCAGAGCATTAAGTGCTTCAGCCACAATTCCTTTAGGAGCAGGACAGTGACCCAAAGACCAACATAAGGCTGAATTGAGGCTATAAGCAGACAATGTAATTAAATTACAAATAGAACAAAATAAATAGGGAAAGTAGATAACAGAAAGGAAGTAGGAAGCAGGAGCTCATTGGCACATAATGCCTTTCCCTCTGTAACAACTACCCAGAGTCAGAGCATCTCTAGTGTCAAACAAGGGAATAAAATGAGGGAATTATACTGTGCAAAGCACATACTCCACATACATATGGAGCTGAGGGGAAAGCATGAAGACAGAAGACAAAGATGCTCTTGAGTGCATTTACTTCAATTTCATGAGAAGGATAAAGAAGTGGAGTGATGCCATCCTGTTAGACACAGAAAGAAAGGCTGGCTGCAATGTACATGAGCAGGAATAGTACTGCAAAACCAGCAGACATGTTTAAAGTATCCTCTCCTTGCATATTCTCAGGATTTACATCTTGCAACTAGTCTTGCCTGTGGTGAAACTTCTTCTCACTATTCTGTCAACATCTGAAGAACATGTTTTGCTTATCTACATTTTGAAAAATGACCTTGCATTATTACTAGTGGTTGTTCTGAGGGAACACTTAGCAGTATTGATAGCCTTAGTAGGACAGCGCTAGCTGCTGACAGTCCTATATTGCAGCCTTGTTCTGAACAGTTGATCGCTACCGTACATGTAAAACTTGGGTTCTCTCTCCTGAAACATTTCTATCCCACTTTGTCTATTGCTTTCTAGAGAGTTTGTATATTTTTCCTTCGAAATCCCAAATGGATCTTCAGGCTAAAAAATGCTTCAGTATCCCCACCTGTACTCTAAGGAGAGATTTAAGCTAGGCGCTAACTCTCACCAGTACAATTCATGTGATGTCTGCACACACTTCCCCCAATCCATTCACAAGGCAGCACAGATTAGATTGCAGCAAAGACTGAAAACAAAAGGAAATAGGACAGTAGCTTACTTTGGAAGAGTCACATTCAAGGTTCCAACTGGCAGAATTTCCATTGATTTGCCCCAGAATTTGTTTTTCCACCTGATATCTGAATATAATAGTGAAAGATTTACAAAACTGAAAAGACCATAGTCTCGCCCTTGCAATCACCTGCGTGGCACACAAAATGATCTATGCTAGATCATTTGGTTTAAAACAGGACAGTATGAGGTTGCCATGAAAATAAAAAAGAAAAAAAAATACTAGGAAATGACATTAGGTCAGAAAAACTAAAGTTTGATTTTCTTGTAGGAGTCATGCCTGTGCTACGTTGTTGTCAAATCTCTCATGAAAACACTCAATATAAATTAAATGCATATGCCAGTAGATACAAGGAAAGAAAGAGCTGCTTGTTCAACTGTGTAAAAAGAACTGCTTGTGTTTGTAAGAAATAATGATTTTCTTGGTAAAAAGCTTTTAAGCAGAAAAGTATAAACAGACTGCAAGTGACAAGGGAAGTTGTAACATGTCTGCTCACTCTTAAGAATGAGAATTTGGAGTGAAATAATTCAGAGCATCAGTTTGTAATATGTTACTACAAAAACAGTAAGTATAGAAATTTTGGGTAAGTTCCAAATGCAAAGTTCAACTTGTACAGACAAAGTTTTTACTTTCTAATAAAAAAAGGAGCTATGCTTTTGAATTAAAATGTATACCTTGCCAAAACACAAAGTTCTTCGATTCACAGTGACAGGCCGAAATGGGAGGATGGTGGCTAACCTGGAAAATAGTTTGGCTGAGTTAAAAACAGTTCATTTTCATTTCTAAGACAATACAATTGTCACCACAATATGAAAATGCTAAAAAGCCCACACTATTTATTGACCTATCTTGCTATGAAAACAGAGGCAACTTAAATTTGTACTTAAAACACCATACTCCCTTGTGATTACTATAAAATTATGTACCTTCTAGCATTTAACGAAGTTCACTCATACTAACGACCTTTCTTTGCTACTAAGAAAGCAAATCATTCTAACTAGAAAGAAAAGCAAGATTACTCTATAAAACAAAGAAATAAAAATCTAAATCTAAATAGGAGTGTCTATCTAGAAACAAGCTTTACCTGCTCTGAGAAAAATCGAAATCCTTTGTCTTCTCTAATACATTCATAAGTTTCACCAAGCACTGGGTTAAATGGCTTGCTTCCTGCTCTAAAGTATGTAGAGGCATAGCCTGACGCTGCAAAAGCAGCTATGAGAACCTGTGAAAATACAGACAAGAACGTAAGTGAGAATAGGCAAATTCTTGTGTATATGCCATCGCTATGTGGTATCACACACCTCACTCCTGTCAGAGTGAAATTGGGATTAATGAAACATGCCTGAAAGTGAAACCATACATCCCAGCCAGAACCAGTATAAACTGTATTTCTTTTATCGACATAATTTGTTTTTCATCAAGTCAGTCTCTTTCAACAGTCCCCTAAAATAACAATCTGCACAAGATACTGCTTTTCTACCTTTGACCAGGCTTATCACTAATGATCTAAAACACACACACAGCTCTAGTCTATGCTCCTTGTGAATAAATATTATATGATAACTTCTAATAACAAGATCACATATCATTTTCCTATGGGAACTATTTTATTTAGTGCCAAACATAAATGGCTCTCACTTAGTATGTCCTTAACGCAAAGTTATCTTAGGATATTCCATGCGTGTGCAGCTTTATCAGCTCCCTTGTCTACATGTACAACTAAAATTTAGTAATCTCTAAACCAGGCCTAGCTGGCAGTAATAAGCTGACATGCCACAGTAATTGAGATTACAGCTCCCCTAAGCAGACTTAAAAAATCACAACAGACACTCAGAAGGCCAATCAAAACTCCAGAGAAGCAATACAGGGATAAAAATTGCTCAGCTATGGATAATCTGCTAACAGCAGGGTGAACCTTAACCCAGTCCCCCTCTCCTCATGCTAGCAAGGACATAACACTTGTGTGAGCTTTTACATGCTTTGTTTTCTTCCATCTGTGTAATGGGTGCTCCATTCTCTTATTCATTTCATATTATTCATAAATGCAACATCAACAGAATTAATACTCTTTTCACAGGCTTTGCTTCAACATTAAAAACCTTCATTCATCCAAAAGTTTTTTCATGAATTTAACTATAAGACACTACAGAGCAATGAGAGGTTTTACTATCCTTATGATATATAAAGCAACGAGAAGGAAAAAGTTTCCACTACTTTTGTATGCTTAGTTAAGATAGCAAAGTCCTGATTTTTCAGAGAACAGTGCAGAAGCAGGTATCATATTCACAGCACTGCCACCACTGATGCTTTGGGTATTCAGCACTTCTGCCAAGTAGTCTCACATGCCTCAGCTTGGGTGTGCAATTTGCATTTTTAAAGTGCTTGTTAAAAGTTTGACTTTTATCCCCAGTATTGCACTAGATAGCTGTAACAGAGAAGAGGATTGAGTCCACATTTCCAAGAAGTTTTTGGTTGCATCATGGTTTTTCCTTCCTGAACTCTCCTGACTCCTTCACCACTCGTCTTCCAAGCTTTTCAACAAAGGAGACAGTCCTACAGGCAAACAGACTGCTTTCCTCAGTACAACCATGCCCTGTTCTTACATGATCTCCCTTTTGTGAGGGACATAAGGAGTCTTGCAGGAAAACAGCATGTGACGATAACAATTCAACACCCTATCATAAGACAGGTCCAATTTCTTCAGTGGCAAGGAAAAAATGCCAGGACCTCTTGCTCTCCTGCAGACCACATGAACATGGCAGTTCATGGACGTAAGCATGTGGCTATATGACAGCCCTGGGCAACCCCTCTTCTCCCCTCTATCCGCAGGGATGCCAACCCATACCAGAGAACAGTAAATATGTTCAGCAGCAACACTACCAACTTTTCCCTAACAGCCTTTCCCCATTTCTTCTGAAGAAAAGGAGACATGACAGATCAAAACACCCTGAGAGCTGAACATAGGCTGTCGGCTGCCATTTAAAAAACCAAGACGTATTTACAGGGGACCTGAAGTCAGGCTGCCCAGACAAACTTTGTTTTGGTGTTTTGGAACTTCTCTATTAGAAATTGCCTAGGATGACATCTTACTGACACCTACATTGATCATCAGCCAGCCACAGACTTGATTAGCTCTTGGAGGCTGCTGGACTTGATCAATGAAAGCCAGGAAAAGATGCTGCAGGGTTAGAAACTGCCAGTGCATACATATACAGTCCTAGAGAGTGAGATCAGTCTTCGCATCAATGAGTCACAATTACAGGACTTGGTTTGAAGTCAAGAAAAGTCCGTCAGCCTTGTTCAGATCAAACCTGTCACCTGGAATTGTTCACAGCACTCATCTGACCCAGCAGGGAGGTCTGTTGACCTCTTCCTCTGTAAACAGGAAGAGCAAGAGAGAACCCTGCACAGACCTTCACTCAACAGCTCCCTTTTTAATACAGACATAAGAAGTGTTACGCTAAATTTATTACCATGCGTTCATAAGGATCATCTGTTTCAGCAGCCTTGTCCAAGAGTTCACTGTATTCCAGCTCTTCACAAAGATGTTGCAAGGTATTCAGAGGTTCATTTAGCTCAACTGGCATGGATACTTTGGAAAGATCTTTGCCAATGTTATTTCTCAAAATATTCCACAGATTGATATTACTGGTGTCAGGGCTGGGGGCTGGGAGACAAGTTCTCCGTCCATTCCTGAATGCGCCTCCTGTTAGCTCACCATTAAGAACTGTGAAGGTAAAAAATTATGATCATAAGAAAGCACCAGATTAAGACAGACTTAACCATTGAACCTAATGACCACCAGAACAAGCAAGCCCAACTTCACTGATTTCAGCTGAGTTGGTCTGTAAAGACATGCAGTAAATCGGGTACATGAACATAACAGATGTAATTTCCCGAAGTTTAAAACATAGCAGTATACTTTGCCGAGAAATGTTGTCTGCAACACTGGTGTTGTCTTCAGATATATTATCACTCACGTCACTGATATAAGATTCATCATCAGAAGCCTAAAACATAAATAAAATATCAATCAAGTTAAATACATATAAAATATACTGACAAATTAGACAAAAATAATCAATTTAAACACAAATATTCAAAGAAATAATCTCTACCTAGTTAGAGCTTTTAACTAAATCAACTGGATGTTTCAATCAGCCCATACTGCCAATGCTCTTTAAGTGTCAAAACAAATGCTATGCTTTCCTTATGTTTCTGAATTCCTTACTAAGAAGCCAAGTACAGACATTAAATTTGCAAAAGGGTGACTTCAAATGACATCAGAGATAAACAAAAAAATTGAGTACATAATGGGCTGGGGATGGGAGGTGAGAAGAGATAGTCAGATTTGTGCTTTTTATAAGGAACAATAAAATGCAGCTTGTGTTTCAGCAAAAAATTATATAAACATTGACCTATCATTTTGCAAAATGAGAACTACATGAGTGTTAAGATTTTTTTAAACAATTTTTTTTCCAGAAATATGACTTTCAAAATATTTTACAGTATTTCCTGATGACAGAGTATTTCTTATAAGGCCTATACCACTTGGGGGTGATTTTTTAAAGTTTCCATTTTGTTTATGCCATTCAGACACACCAATTTTCCATGCTCACAATATTGACTATTGAGATAACATGCACTTTACACCTGCCACAAGCAATAAGATAAGGAACCATTCCATCCTTCAGATGAACAACTCGAGCTGTGGTTATGGCAACTCATGGCACATGAGCAATCCTTGTCAAAGGGGAAAATATGGTGGCACACTCCTATTTCCTCTTACAGAAGAATTGTGATAGACCACAGCTCTACTCTGGCTTTATAAAAAGATATTTTAAAAAATAAATAAATATTTACAACTGAAGAATTTATTCAGGATAGCACAGGAAAGGATAGGAGGCAGGAACATGATTCAGGAGCCTGAACTGTGACTGCTTCAACTCTGAGTGAGACAATTTTTCAGGCTTTTATTTACTTCTCTGATTACAGAGACTCACTTCATATGTATAGTAGAAGATTTTTTTTTTTAAAGAATATTTAGAATATTTAAAAATCTAAATTAGTTGACTGCAGAGTCAGACATAATTGTTCCTGTCTATGTCATCCTAATCTGAAACTGCCATAGTCTAGCAAGGACATATACTGAAGATAAGCTACTGCTAAGCAACTTTCAACTCAGTTTTACACTTCAGGGAACTTCTGCACCCCAGCACAAGGGAGTCTCAGGTTCATTTGTCTACATCTTACGCATTCTGATACCTTTTCATTCTAAGTAGTATTATTAAAAAAAAATAAAAATCATTCACTAGTGGTAGCAATACCTAAATCTGTCCAACGGAAAAGCTGCAGCATGCTGTTATGGCCTACCTCGTTTTCTGATGAGCTGGCAGACAGAAGCACTTCCTGTGCATCAAAGAACTCTGAAACAGATTCAGACATAGAGAGCCTGCTCTCATTAGAAACTTGCTGAGACAGCGGCAAACTGACATGAATTTGTTCACCCGTCTGTAAATAAAGCACAGAAAAACAAAAGTATTATTTCTAGTATAAAACAAAGATGCATAGAAGGGGTAAATCACCTGAATAATTTTTCTATGCCAAATATAAGCACAGATAGCACAGATGGCATTTTAGTAGGGCTTTGTGTGTACCTAACAGATGAGACTTTGACAATTACAAAATAAAGTGCATTTTGAGCAGTGAAATACATGTTTTCATTTGAGGCCTGCTCTGCATCAACTGCTAAGTTCTAGCAGCACGAATAATCACATATCTAGTTCTGTATACAGAGGAATGATTTTGTGGACAATAGCTGGATTGTATCAGGCAAGTTCAACCATAAAATTCAGATGAAAAGACACCTGGTCATAACAAATTACATCATTGGGAGCTAGCTTTGATACAACCAAAACTCAAATATAAAGCTTTATAAGGTCGAGGATTTATAAGCTACTTTCAAAATAAATGTGCTCGTGAACAAGTTTAATAGCAAACGTTTGAAATGTTTGAATATTCAGGAGGATGTCTCTAGTATTTATGTGCTTTTATTCCATGTTCGTACTCCAAATCTCATTTGAATTATGCCATTAACACTGACTCAATACTACTAAACGGAATGAACTCTCTACGGTTTATTATAAAGACAATTTAACAGCAAAGGCAAAGGTTCAAAATTGTGTTATGTGTATATCAGGAGGGGGAGCAAGCTAATTTAAATAGTGGAACCTACCTTCCTCTTCCTGCTATTGATTGGAAGAACACCAGGTTTCAACGTGTTACTCTACAGGCTATCACTTTAAGAAGGAGGAAAAAAAAAAAAATTTCTCTCCCTGTGCCATTCCACCAAAGGAGCTGCTGCTGTCGAGAGAAATGGGCTTCTGACTTAATCCCTTAATTTATACAGCATGATGCTTCTGGGAGATAATACAGATGAAACTACTGAAGCCCTTCTAAACACAGTTAACTCTTCAGATTGCAACTCCATCCCCATTAATCTTACTACAGAAGTTCTGCAAATGATTTTGCTGACGTCTTAATCCTTTAGACTTATTCTATATAGTTGCCTCAAAATGCACTAACAAAAAAAAAAAAAAATCATAAACAAACCAGGAGGTCAAAAACCGTTCCTTTTCACTGGGGCTTATAAGCTTGTAGATGGTTTACAATGCTTCATGAATTATTATGGAAACAGCAGCTCATTTCACTGTTATCTTTACAGGAAGTGATTAAAATTTTAAGTTTTTGTATAAGCTAGAGGAGACTTGGAAAAATACACATGTCCCTACCCTACCTGAAAAAGATGCTCACACAGGCATTATCTACACACTGCAAGATCATGTATATAAAGCAATCAAGAAAAGAAGTGAATGAGAGATCTGGGAACCTCTTTGAAAAACTCTTTCAGTCAGATACACTTGTACGAAGATAATGATGTACATAAGAAAAAGAAACAGCTAACCAACAAAAAAAATACAAAATAGAAGCGATGGTCATTGCTCAGAACTTCACTGCTGTGTCATCGCTTCACTTCTATCTTCTGTTGCTAGTCTCCAACATGATGGACTCTTGGAAAAATTGTTTGGACATTTTCAAAAAGGAAATAAACAAAAGTAATTGGAAACATATTTTCACCTTCCTTTCTTGTTGGAAGAAATAATTAGGAGACAAGAGTATGTTAATTGAAATGGCATATGCATAGAAAAAAAAATTAGTGGAAATGACAAATGAAAAATATTTTGGTAAAATGCAAGCAGAATGGTTGTCAAAAGTGACCACAATAATTGTAACATACTACAGCTCACAAATTCAGATTTGTCCTTCTCATGAGGGAATCTGACTTGTTATTAATACAAATGTTCGGTAATCTGTTGACTGAGGAAAACAAAACAAGAAAGACTAGATGTTGCAAACATGATATTAATATAGTGCTTGGTTCATAGACTGAACCTTTTGATTTCAGCAGTGCCACTCAAGATATTAAGCATCAGGCCCTTTCAGCATTTGCAGGATCAGGCCCTTAAATACTAAACTGTTCTGTTGATTTGGCAAGAACTAAGATACAGAATTGGTTAGCTACTGTGTGTTACATTCAAATACAGTAAAACCTCACTAATTCCCACAGCCAACAATTAATATTCCAAAACTGGAGTCCTTCCCTGTTACTCTGCAGAGACCAAACTGAGTTCTTTCATGATCTGACATATGCAAAATAAAAGACAGAAGTTTCATTTTATGAAGGGAAAATATAATCTTACTTTTTTATAAATGAACACTTGCGAATCTGAAAAATTCTGTAATTTGCCAGGTGTGTTTCAGCTATTAGTGAGAATTAGCAAGGTTTGATTGTACTCTAAATCCATTAAAGGCCAAAGTCTTACCTCATCAGGACTAGGGATAATATTTACACTGACAACCTGATCACAAATAACAGATTCTGAATGTATTCTGTTCAAGCGACTCCTTAGTTCAGCATTCTGGTTGAGAGCCTTAAAATAAAAATTGCACATTTCATTTAAAATTAAAAGGTAAGCGTTAAACAGCAAAAAAAAAAAAAAAAAAAAAAAAAAAAGGTAGCTTCTTCCCAGCAATTTCCTAAGAAATCACAGAACCTCCTTTCTTCCATTTTTAGAGAGATATTTATTTTGAAATCCTCTCTAACATGATTTAATCTTGTGGTTGGATTGCCTTCAGTGATTTTCAGGAGACAGGGGTTACCGATATACTCTCACAATGTAACAGTGGCATTCTACCTTAATTCTTCAGAAAGCTCTTTGGCAGGTATACTGGTGGGTTATGTACATTATGGAAATGGGGAGTGAGCACAGCAAGAAAGAATGAAACTGCAGAACAACAAACGGGAACTACCTGCAAAATGCGCAAAGAGGCAGCTCTTGGTTTACAACGATGCAGCCCTTTCTGAACCAAGGTTATCAGCACTTAGAGCCTGCAAAAGGAAATTGCTTCCTCTCCATCAACAACAACATAATTGCTAGTATCACTGGGTGTTTGCCCATCCAGATCAAGTTGATATATTGGCATGTGTGTACTTATTTCAAATTACTGATCTACTTGTGTCACAAATACCAACAGAATTCAACTGGTGTCTGGTATCTGCTGATTTTTCTCCTTTTTTAAAGCCCAACCTAGATTATAAACTTGGGTGCATATATATTTATTGTCTGTTATCTAGAAAGACTCGTGTGCAAGATTCTGAAATCTGGAAAAAGTATAATATGTTACATTCCTAGAACATGAACTGACTTAATCCTAATATGACCCCAGCACTGGGGATTATAGAAAAGAACAAGACAGACAGCCATACTGTTTTAGCAGAAATTTACTAATGACTGTTATAATGGAGTAAGAATCTTCTTCTGAGACTCAGGAATAGATTGCATGAATGTACTGAAACAAAGTAGGAACAAAGTAGAACAGGTTAGCTTAAACTGTCACTAAACAGTTTCTATTACCCCGTTTTGCTTTGTTCTGAAATGGTCTGGTCTTGTTCACAGTTGCCATCCACCAAGAAGGGAAGCAGCCTGGCAGTAGCTTCTTAAACTGCTCAAACCTGGTCATGAGACTGGTCAAACCAGGCTGTCTAAGGTCAAATTTCCACTTATTTCCCATTAAGACTATGAACAAATGTGTGACAGGAGCAAGAAGAAAACATGATCACCTATTTCATACAAGGTGCAAATAAGTCTCCACAGGTCTTTTAGTTAAATTTGTATCAATAACCAGAAATGGTTACCCTTATCTCTTGTCCTTAACTTTTCTGTATTACAACACACAGTAATCAATCTGTGTAACATGATACCCATCTGTATCTATAGAAACATTGTGCATCAATTTTAATCTCAGAGCAAAAACCGCCAACCCAGTAACAGTGTATGAAATTATATACACATTTGGATGAAGTTATGTTTGCCTTTGAACCTCTGCTCATATTTCTTGCAGATGCAGTGCTCCACACCAATCCATTCTTCAGAGTAAAAGCTTTCATATTTCCTTGACAATGAATTAAAAAATTTGAGTTATTTTGCAACCTGAGGACTTACTCTTACTTCACCTCTTCTTCCCCACTAAAGCCAATGACAATCTTTCCTTTGGCTTAAGTGGGAGAGATGCTGGACAGTAACAGGTGTGTATCTGAAAATCCAATTTACCCATGATTATCCTGTAACCCATGATTCCTTTTGCAGTTAGAGACATGGACATATAAAATAAATCTGAAAATATACAGTCAAAATTTAAAATTAATTAAGAAAACAAGAGTATCTCCTTGGTGATGGAAACAGCTCCAGGAAAGATATCTAGCATTTATATAAAAACATTTAGTCCTTTTTCTTTATTTTGGAAAACCGTAACAGATACATACTTACATAAACAAATTATATCCTTCACCTCCACATGCATTGAGGTTAAATCTATGCTCTTACATCATAACAGAACATATATCATAGTTTTGGTCAAGAATTTGGCTTTTTCTTGGCTCCTTCTACCTCAGGAAATGGCCAACATCATACAAAAGAAACAGTGCACTAGGCAAGCTAGATGTGCTTGAAATGAAATGAAGAACATACCTGAGAGAGGGACTGTCTGAGGTGTGCTATTTGAGCATTGTGGCCTGTAAGATCCTGCTCTGAAACAATCTGCTTAAGCTTCTCCTTCTCTATAGCTATGCTGTTAAAGGCAGACTTCAAAAGAGAATGCACTAAGCAAAAAGAAAAAAAAGAAAACAAGTGTTTTCTTAGCTACAGAACTGCACATTGACATCTATTACAATATTTCAGCAATAAAGACTGAGAGCGAGATTTCCACCCCACAATTATGGAAATTTGAAACAAGGATCTGAACTTCAAATAATCCATGCCAAATTAAGTACTAACATTTACAGCTTGAGGTTGTAATGTGCATACTATATGTTCAGACACATGTCATCTTGGTGCTGAACGTATGGACAGGTGCATATTTGGAAAACCTGTGTCCAATGTGTGTTCTTTTCTTTCTGGTTCTTTTTTTTTTTTTCTTTTCAGAGTAATAAAAAACCCAGTTCTGCTCAGACTTAATATTGCACTAAGAGGATTACTTGGTCTTTAAACAGTTTTTTGACATTTGTTAAGATATCAGTCTCGTGTTTTTCCTGTTTTTATATAAGGGATAGCAAACTGATAACAAACCCTTTTAAAATAGTGTTTTTCAGTCTGAAGGACCATTCATTTATTGGCAATAAAAGGGCATTTCTAAAATACATTCTAGTAATAAGCTCTTCCATTGTTTCCACTGACATAGAAAACATTGCACAAAATAAATTGCACAGCATTTTATGTAGCAGTGACATTCTGATTCATCTTTGGGGAGAAATAAAGCATTTTATTGAGAATCAAAATGTTTGCAAATTCAGTCAGGTATTTACAAGATGCAGAAAGTGGTTCAGAAGACTTGTAAAAAAAATCTCTTATCAGACAGAATTTACCTATCTCTATATTCGTGACATCCATGGAAAATGTAAGAAGGCTAATGCATATCGTTCTTTATGTAAGCCACCCGACCAGCTAAAAATTCTTATCCAATATCATATAACGCAGATGAATGCTCTGGCCATAATTAAGTGAAGGCAATAAAGAAACACAAAAGAGAAGCACAATAAAGGAAACGCTTGACATTTCCAGTTACCTTTTTGTGCCATCAGGCAGAACTCTTCTTGAAGCTTCATGTACTCTGTAGAGCACTCCAGAGGGTCCGTTACATGGCTTGGGGGAGTCTGAAACTCAATGTCTGCACAAAGGTTGGGATTGGATGAATGTAGTCGAACGGGTGACATTGTAGCACTGAAAGGGACCTACAGCAAAAACAGTGAAAAAACAACCAACCTTTTGACTCTGTTGAAGCAAAATACAAACTTCTGAAAACAAAAGACTTAGTTCACAATGTGAAGAACATGGTAAGAGTGAACATGTAACTTTTAACTCTCCTAAATCTCAGCACAGCTGATGCAGAATGCTCTTGAAAATTTTCACTGAAACAGACAAAAGAAGGCCTAAATACATAGCTAACAGCTAACAATGGAGCATTTCAATTTTAACATTTACAAAAATGACCCATTTCCTAATGCTTAAAAGATGACTGGAAATTTGAGCCATGACACATGCTGCTTTATATTTGGACATTTGAGAGTACATGTAGTATGATTCTGTTGTTACGATACCAACATCTGAAGTATGCAAGTTCCTCCACAGATCTAGAAATATGATATTATCAAATGTATCATTGAAACTTTTCAAAACTACTGGTAAATCTTGAGTTGAAACTCACTGTACTGGCAACTACGAAGAGGGAAAAAGCATATAGTTTTCTATATTCTTTCTAAGTAAACAAATAAACAACAACCACATAAAAATAAAAAAAATTCCACCTGATTTCCATTTAAAGTACATGAATCATAAATAAATGCAGAGAGATACAGTTCAGTAAGATGGAGCAAATAATTTAGTTTATTATAATTTCCACTTCTCTTTCTCCTTCTATACTTTTCAGGTACAGCAATAAAAATATGCATGAAAGTCTTTATAAATTATATACACTTGTATTGTATACTGCACAGTTACCTATATACTACATATGCAGTGCATGACTACCGCTGTCATATACATGATGTGTGCGTGTGTGCATATGTTATATTTTATTTTAATTTTACCATTTACACACAGTTGTATAAAAATTGGGCCAAGAACCCAATTTTCAAATTTAAATGCAAAGGAAAGGCATGCAGAACTACATTTTGTTACTTAAATATTAAGCACTGTTAAACACATCAAATACATTTAATCTATTTCATTATATTGATCAAATGTATAAATCAAGAATTTGCACACTGCGGTCTAATGTTATTATTCAAATATGAAAAATGGGGCCAAAACATAAAATGTGTCTTCTGAGGCATGATAAAGAGCAGCAGATAATATAAAAAGTCATATTACTAAGAATTATTACTACAGTTAAGTTCTATACTACCATCAGTATTTGAAATTGGTACCTTGTTATTTGATTAGATCAGGGAATGGTTTTATCAATCCCCTCCTGTAAAAGCTGTCATCAGTATATGTTTCAGGTTTCTGATTCCCCAATGAAACCCTCAAAATCCTGTCGGATCTATTCATCACATCTCATTCCACTCGTGAGTGTATTCTGCAAAATACCATTTTCCGTCCTATTCTTCCTCAACTTCCAGATACATCCAGCATATATCTATGGCACCTATCCAGTATAAACTTTATTTATTCTCTTCTCTCATATATTTTGATTTCCAGCTATATCAACAAAGTAGGTATTTTTTATTGTACCTCGTTTTAGCCTCATATCAGGAAGACAATAACAGGAGATGTGGAGTAAATTCCTTTTGTCCGTACTGAGTATTTACCCCATTATCTTCTTCATGAGTACCAGACTGCTTCTCAAAACAGCCCAATAAAACTAGTTTAATTGACTAATATGACTAAATGTAGGTTAATTTCAAGTTTCTTTTACAAAACCTTTTACTTCCTAAATTGGAGAGCATGTTCAATTGCTCCAGGTGGGCAGAGTAGGTGGCTACATGATGTGTGCAAGGAGCACGTATCCAGCCCTCAAGTCCATCCAGAAGGCAGGAAAGAAAGCTGATCCCAGCTATGATACAGGAGCTTGAGGGAGAGTCCCTGCAGCCCCACATTTCTGTGGTGATGGGGCAGGTTTCCCCAGCCCCACACAGACTGGCAGAGCTGTGGGTAGGCTGCCCACACACGAGGGGGGCTCTTCAGTCACTTTGTGATGAACCTAGCTGAAGAGATCTGCTTTAGATCAATCATTTCTGCCTCATACCTCATCTGGCCAGGCTGAAAAGCAATGTTTCTGCAGTGAGATTTACTGGAAAAATAACATTTTAAAGTATGTCCTAGAAACAGCATTTACATGTTCTACAAATACTGTCACACTGCAAGAAATATACATTCACATGACAGAGAGAAGTAGCTGCTCTGCTGACTGCTTTAAATACAAGAACCAAAAATACTGAACTGTTGACTGACATGAATTCTCCTCATATGCATATTTTAGAAAAGTTTCCCAGCTACTTTCCACAACAGATGAAAAAATCCACGTTGAACAAACTCTTTCATTCTCTTGAATAGGCAACAATTCAAGAAACACTACCAACATACTTCTCTCCCTTTTTTCCTTTCGCTGCCATGCTTTGTCTCTACATCCATAGTGACTTGATTCTGGCTTTATTACCCAGGCATTTGCTTTTGTTGTTGTTGTTGTTTTGGAGGTTATTTTTAAAATATTTAGCTTCTTGATGCACCACTCTGGTTTCCTCCATACACACACACTCTTCTAGATCTCTGATGTACCTTGTCCTGACTTTCTGCTTTACGCCAGGGTCAAAATACCCACTCATCCATCCCCATATTCAGAATTACGTGTTCATGTAGGAACAGACTGTTCCTGGTAAAGTGGGTTGTAAGGAAAACCTCCTCTTTCTGCTATGCATTTAACAAATGTCATTCTGTATCCCTCAGTCTATACACACAGCTTCGCTGTTTAGGAGAGACAAGCACTTTGCTATATCAGCTAGGAAGAACGGGCTATTGCCACGACCACTGCAAGAGCTGCAGAGTCATTTTGGTGCCTCTAATTTTCCTTTCTCCTGTGCTTTTTCCAGCTCTTCCAAGACCTCCCTCAACAGGTCCTCACTTCAGCTGCAGGTAGCAACTTTCAGGTAACAAGCGACTCCCTGGACTCCTATAGTCCAGCTGTATTTGCTCCACGTAAGCACTCCTTGGTACAGCTCTTGCCAACGCTGTTTAACTACTGCTGAAATGACACTGTTCAGCCACAGAAACTGAGAAGTGAGTTGATTTCTCTGCTAGGCAGGCAGACCAATGAGGTTGGAATATCAATCAATTATTGAGCACAGCATTCAGCATCAACTGATTACAGGGGATTAAATTTAGATGAGTTAATTTGGGAACTGGAGAAACACTGATTTTTCTCATGTTTTTTAGGAGGGCCTAACAGTAACCGAGTGGTTCACGTAGCAGGAGCTCAAGGTATTCAGGCTTAAGCAGAAGCTGCCTGATCTATGGGATTTTAGCTATGGGATGGGGCAGCAGACCCTGGAATACTTTAGCCTGGTGAAGACATTCACTGCTTGGGCTAGGTAAGGGGTATGCGTTTAAAGCTGACTTTAATCTTTGACTGCACAGAGTTTTCCCTATCTAGCTGTTGTACTAATCCATTGATGGATTAGTACTAAGGTCTATATTGTGCATGCCTAATAAGTGCTTTCCTGATAAAGCAGCAGCTGAAGATATCCTTTTGACGTTAATTTGATTTCACAAACAGCACTTCCCCCTCCCAATTCCCAGCTCGCGTGTTGATTTCATAGCTACAGATTTTGCGTCAAAGACTTTGAGAATTAGCAAAACTAAATACAGACACTAGAGGTAGTAATATGACTTTTTGGGATTATGGAATGTAAACAGAAAGTGTCTCAAATGAAAAGGCTAACCTTACACTACTTTAAAAAAACAAAAGAAATCAGGAAATTTAATAATTCCATGGTTGTTTGTAACAAATCTTGGTTCTGCTGTCTTGCTATAGACTGTCATGAGAAACTTTTAATAGAATTAGATAATTTCTTTCCATTTTGCATAGTTTATAGCAGAGTATGTCAAAGACATGTTCAAATAGTTCAGGGCCTGAGTCTAATCATCACTTGCACTTGCATAAAGGAGGAGGGACATGTACTGTGTAAACAAGCTCAGACCCCCATTTATGGAACTCATTTGTGTCGGGCTTGATGAATTCTAAGAAACTTAGCTAAAAGTGGGTAGCATGGACACCTCCAAAAAGTGCAAGAAACATTTTTATAAGCTTATTACACATTCATGTACACAGCTTCCCATCTTTAGAGCTAACCCTTGATTTTTAAATCCACTCACTGTTGTAGCCACTGCAGCTGCTAGTCTCTGCCGGCGTCGTGTTGTGCTGAACTGGCCCTTCGGTGCCGGCCCTTCCTGACAGTGAATGCAAGAAGAGAAGGAAGTAGAAAAAGAGAAGGGAAGGGGTGATGGGACACAGGAAGATGAAAGGTGATCAGAAAAGGGAGAGGGAGAGTCTTTAAGTGGATTTCAATTTTGTTAACTCTTATGGCCTACACATTCTGAGGACATATCACATGTTTTCAGTTGTGTATGCCAGAGACATAAAAAAGCTAGATATTTTGCTAAAATTATCTCTAGATGAGTTGGACTGCAGTGCACTCACTAAGAATACAAAAAAAAAAATTATACTAGCATTGCCATTCAGAGTCATAAGGCAATTATGGAATAAGAAATGAAAAAGGATGCTATGGCATAGCAGAAAACACAAAACCCAAACTCCTTCTGGTGGTCACTTGACCATCTAGAAGGTGAATTCTCAAAGAGATCACTTTGCATTAGTGGAACTGCATGAACTGTGGTCATCGAAGATGCATGCATCTTAATGGTAAAGCCTTTCAGTGTGTATGTTATAGTGAGTTTGCTTATGTAAACATTCCTGTGACAGCTCTAGCATTTCGGTGTCCCTCCTTGAGCCTATTTGTTCATTTTCTCCACACAGCACTTCTTTGAGTTCCAACTACTTCTCCAAAAAATGACTGAAGGCTTGGCTTCCACAGCAATGCAAAAACTCAGATAAAGCAGTACAAATGAAAACTAAGTATTCCAACAACTCCTTCCTTTTCTGCATGCCTAACTTGTGGTCTCATCCTGCTCAATTTCACTTTTATTTTACATTTGAGAAAATTCATCATGGTATATTAAAGTCAAGCAAGTAATTGTTTAATGCAGAGGAGCTCCACACCTATCGTAAAGTCCTTCTAGTTAATGTCTAATCAACATGTCATTATTTCGAAGCCATTTTAAGAAGACTAGAAAAGCTACCTTTCTGCTCTTAGAAAAAAAATTTCAATCCCTTTATTTCTTTCTTCCCCTATATCTTCAGCTATAGCCTATACAGTATTTCTAAATCTATATACATTTTTACTTTTTCTGAAAGTAGCCTGGGCGCCATATAAATAACAATGGTATAGATTGGATACATGGACACCATGCTGCAGAACAAGATACTGTAGGTCACTTGTTAGCTGAAGTGTCTTGCTCCTGTAAC